AATAATAAAAAAAGAAATCCCCACTGTTTATTACAAAAAGCTTTAAATAGGATCTCCCTCCCCCAGCTCCGTACAGCATCATGCTTAGTTCTGTGGCTGGAGAGCTGTGTGCAGCTGCTTAGGGACTAGGAATGACGACATGCTCCTAGACTGCACTATAGCATGTGGCTGTCCTATGAAACCTCATCAACCGTAGTTCCCTTAGCCCCAAGGCCAGGGTCCCATGTTTCCGGCTTAAAACTAGTTTTTTGCCTTGTAACTCTATCAGCAAGCTGGCACTCATCTGATATAGAAAATCATTAACACACAGAGAAATCTGTTTGCCAGCTCACTAGCTTCCCACCCCCTGCCCTCATCCTCCCTAACCTCAGCAGAAGCTTGACTGGAGCCTCAAGAAAAACTAGCAGAAAACTAAACATACTTCAGATGATCACCACCTCACTCCAACCTCTGCAAATTTGCTCGTCTGGTCCTTGAAAATTCTACTTGAGACCACTTTGAGACCTTTCCTCTTTAGAAGCTTCTTGATTTTTCCAATTAAAGTGATTAATGAGAAGCGGGAGGAATTGATATTTCCTAAATGGTGGGGTGGGAACTACAGAGTGCATTTATTTTCTGTTACTGTAATGAAATACATGAGGCTGGGTACTTTATAAAGCAAAGAGGTTTATGTCTCTGACAGGTCTGGGGCTTCGAGAGCATGAATGATTTAGGCATTGTAACAGTTCTGTTGAAGGCTTCATGGCAGACAATATCACAATGGCCAGAGATCACACTGTAAGATAGGAAGCCAGAGAACACTCAAATGGGGTCCAATAATGACCTCACTACATCTCCATGATGTGGACTAAACTTCCAACTCTGGAATCTTCTGGGGAGGTGCCATATCCTGGAGCATTTCCTGGATGAGGATGGAGCTGTGTCAGTGACAACACATCACAGTCCAGTCCTGTTTCTAAGCCTCCTCCTTGGAAGTTCTCTACCTGGACAATTGGCTTCCTATAGGATCTTTACCACCCTGAGCCTGGTATAGTCAGAGAAGGGCCTTGTCACAGGCTTCCCAGGTCCCAGGTGAAACCCAGAAAAAGCTGAGTGCTTGCCCAGGCAGGGTGGTCAGAGGTGTTGAATGCAGTGTGCAGCTGCAGCTGAGTCAGTGCCAAATTCCAAGAAAGGTGGGCAGTGCTCAGGAGAGTGGCTCTGCCTGCATCCCAACCCTTCTATCCCCATTAGGAGCTCATGCACTGGCCACCTGACCCTGGTCTTTCTCAAGGAGCTGTACTGCCTACATTCTAATGCTTCCACCCCCCACTGGAGCTGGTTCTGTGGCCACCTGACCCTGGCCTTTCTTAGGAGAGCTGCTCTGCCTGCATCCCAACCCTTGTATCCCCACTAGGACCTGGCACACTGACCACCTGACCCCGGCCTTTCAGAGCCAGAGGACTGGAAACACTTAGAAAACATTAAAAAAAAAAAAAAACAAAGTACGCAGGAAGTTATCGTTTTTCACAGTACAAGGCACTTATTTTTTCTTTTAATACCATTCTTTTCTCATTTTTAAAGAGAAAGGCATGAGTAAATGGACCAACAAATGATGCTATCCAAGTGTCATATGGTGTGGGTGCGGTGGTATGAATGAGGATGTCCCCTATAGGCTTGAGTATTTGAACACTCAGTCAGCTGGTGGAGAGGGTCATGAACCTTTAGGTGTGGCCTAGCTGGAGGAAGCACATCACTGATGGCGAGCTTTCAGAATTCATAGCTCTGTCCCATTTCCAGTACTTGGAGATGTGATCTCTCAGCTTTCTGTTCCCACTTCCTCCTGCTGTGCCTCCCCTTGCCATGATGGACTCTTATCCCTCTTGAACCGTAAGTCCAAATACCTCTTCCTCCTATAAGTTGCCTTGGTCATGGTGTTTTATCACAGCAACAGAAAAGTAACTAACACAGGATTTGGTACTGCAGTGAGGTGTTTCTGTGAAGAACCTGACCATACTGTATTTTTTTTGAAGGAATGTGGAAAACTCTGGAAGTTTGTTGTAGAAAAGCAGTTGAGTGATGGAAGCAGAGCTTAATGGGCTGCTTAGAGGCCCAGCTCAAGGTGTTCCAGAAGCAGAGGAAAACAAGGACTTAAACAGCAACTAGGATATTTTGGCAAAGCATCTGTCTGTCTTTTGCCAGAGGCCTAAGAACTTGCTAAATTAAAAAGTATTGGACTAATTTCTTTGATGGAGGAAACTTCAAGAAAGCCTAATGTTGAGTTTGTGGTTGGTTATTACTAATAATTTTATGTAGATGCACAAAGAAAAAGAGTGAGTGGGACAGAAAGAAGTACAAAATGGACAGTCTGGAGAGAAAGAGAACACCAGGAAGATTAATGTTGCAGCCAAGATGTGTCCTGGAAGCAAGGCTTTAATTGATAAGGAGAACAGCACCATTGAAGAGCCATCCTGCTCTTCACTGCAGTAATGGAAAGTGTCCTCAGAGCCAGACACCCCCCAGTTACGTTTCCAACTTGTGCAAAGAGAAAGCCTAAGGGGTTTTATGTTCCTAGAAAACCACAACATATAAAAGTAGCTACATGGATCCAAAGGGGCCAGGATCCATCCCAAGCTGGCAGCCAAACTAGGCAGTGTCATCTGTGTAGTACTGGCTTTAGAGGCATGAAAGATGTATGAGTAGGGGGGAGGGTGGTGTCATCAATTCTTCTTCCCTGGTCTCAGTGAGCCACCGACACCAGGTGGTGTGTAGCAGAGCACAAAGAAGGCCTGACAGGCCACTGTGTAATCTGTGAAGATGAAGCCCAGGTAGCAGTGGAGATCCCATGATATTGGAGGTGGCAGAGCTGGGCAACATCTGCCAAGGAGAGCTGTATACAGGAAGTGTAGGTTGATTAACTGTAGGAGAGAGAGAGAGAGAGAGAGAGAGAGAGAGAGAGAGAGAGAGAGAGAGAGAGAGAGAGAGTTAAATGTTGTGGTTAGCAAGCCTGGAAGCATAGAGCCATTTATGCCCTTTGGAACCAAAGTCATCAGACATGAAGCTACAAGGTTAGTGCTTGCCCTGCTGGTTTTTGGTCTTGCTTTGGTCCTGTATTCCTCACCATACCTCCATTCCTCCCTTTTGGAATGGCAATATGTATTCTGTGCCACTGTATATTGGAAGTATATAAATTTGCTTTCTGATTTTACAAGGGGTTACAAGTAAGAGAGTGCCTCAAGTCTCAGAGATGACTTTGGACTTTTGAACCATGTTGAGACTGTTCAAGACTATGGGAGCTCTTAAAGTTGGACTAAATGCATTTTACATTATGATATGGCCATGTGCCTACATGGGCCAGGAGTGGAATGTGGTGGCTTGAATGAGACATGACCCCATAAGTTCAAGTACTTGAACACTTACTGGGTCAATTGGTAGTACTGTTTGGGGGAGGGTCATGGAAACTTTAGGAGGTGTGGCCTTGCTGGAGGAAGTAGTCACTGGGGCAGGCTTTGAGAGTTTGTAGCCTTGCTCCACTTCAGTTTCTGTTTCCCTTCCTGTGTGCTCAAACGTGTGTTTTCAGCTTTCTGCTTCAGCTGCCTCCTGCCATGCTGAGACATGTTCACCTTACCTGAACCTCTCTCTCCTGTGGGACATACCTTTTGCATTAGACACTATGGAAACCACATCATTCCTTCCTTGGCATGCTCTTGTGGTATTCTGAATCGACCCTTTAATTGATGAAAGCTTTGGGGGCTGGGATTTACTTGGTTTCATTTCCATTAGTTTATCCCACACCCTTCCCTAGTCCAAGCGCTGCAATCCAGAGCATTTTGCACATGGAACTTACAACAAAGAGCATGCCTTCAGGTCACTGTGAACACACTGCCCCCATCATGGAGTCAAGTCTACACAGATGCTTAGGGTCTAAGCATCACGGCATCCATGTCTGGAACAAGTAAGAGGTCTGTTAGTCACACCCTTTACACAATTCATCTTCTGACCGCTTACATCCACACTTATTGTAAGAAAATGAACATAAATAGAATAGTACGGCAGAGTACTACAAGCTCATCCCCGGTTTTGAAACTGTTTAACTTTCTTGTGCTATCCAACAATGAGCTGTGGTGCGCCATCAACCCGTAGCATAATTAGCATCTTTTGTTCCTTATGAATTTACATATTCAATTATCATTCTATTTAATTTCTCATGGTTTTGTTACATTGGCTAAAACTTTTTAACGAGAAAGTTTTCAATTTAATGGGCTTTGTGGTTCGTTTGTAAACGGTGAGGCTCTGAAGTCAGTTTAGGATTCCTGAAAGCTGCTACAGGGACTGTCAACTTCGCCGTTGGGTTTTAGAGGCCTTGGTTCTTTGTCCAGGGATTCTGGACCAGTACTTTTGTGTCAGTTCCAGTTTACATGGTATGGTTTTGCCTGGCCACAGTTCTGTTGTGTTTCTTTTGAGAAGTCTGCACCAAGTTCACTTTTTTGAGTAAAGCAGATGCAGTAAAGAGGCTCCTGAATTTGGGAGTGGGGGGCACTGTGAACTGACAAGAGGCTCCATCTGTGGGCTGCCTGTGGTGCAGAGTATAAACACGGACAGACAGGTGGGTTGGACGATGACTCCACTCCAGCCTCTGGTCCAGTCTTCTGAACATACAGCTTATGCATATGTGAAGGCACCATTTGTTATCAAAAAGGCAAGCTCAGGTTTTCATGCAATCTACCTGCATTCTGTTCCTACCAGTGGCAGTAACAGCTGATGGGGGCTGCATGGCCCCTTGTCCAGATAAATCTATGTGGCCTTAGGAAGGAAAAGGGGCTATTTGCTCTGCTTGGAAAGAAGGGGGAAACTTTGTTTTGTCTGGCATTCTGGGAGTCATGACCACAATTTAACAAAATCGGATGCAGTTTGTTCAAGGAATTATTAAAGATCACACTTGGGTGTTGAGTTGGGATTGAGGTCACAGGTGGATATTGATGCTACCATGTCTGAACAGTGGAATTCAAGGGCAGAGTTCAGAATTATACCATGAGAAGAATTTACTCAAGCATCATACAGCATTTCACATCATAATTAAAAAAATATTCATAGCCTCACCCTCTGCCTTTTTAAAAGGAAGGCAGCCCTCTATTAAATATAATTTAGGACAGGACCCAGAACTTTGATTTATTCAGAAGTCTACTCACACATGTCAACAAGGGTTATGAGCAGCTGCTGTTTCTGGAAAAAGGGAAAGTCATGGCTAGAAAACCAGGAGGATCGTGAAGGGAATCACTCCTTCATCAGCTCCCTCAGGTCGTCTTCGATTCCTCTCTTGCTCAGCTCATCTAAACTGTAGTACCGGTGAACAATTTTCTCAGCCGTGACGACTACCACACGAAGCCCATGGGTGTCTTTGCCCAGCTGACACCCAATGGCAGATGACACTACCATGTCGAGGTTCTGGTAGGTTCCCCCAGCATTCCTGTGGTAGTGACCAGAGAACACAGCTTTGATACCTGCAGGGAAGCAAAAAAGATATTAAGGGGCCAAGGATTTCCATGTAGGTCACCTGGGGGCTCCCAAGTTTAATTCTGTAAACAATATTAATGTGTTAAATGTGCAACACTGTGTATAGGAAGGCAGCATATGTGACATCAAAAATCTTTCAATGACAGTTCATATACACAGTAGATCGTTACCAGGTTGGTCATAAGTATGCAAACAAAGAACCAGGGAACGGGATGCAAGAAGTGCAGTGAGCGACTTGGGGAAGAGAGCGAGGAGTGAAAACAACACTGGGGCCCATGTAAATGTCCTGTGCTGGGGTCTTATGTGCTTAAGAATCATGGTTATGGGCTGGCACATGCACAGCCCTGGGTTCAATCCTCAGTACCACAAAGGACATTTGTGGTGGTGTAATCAAGGTAGCAGAGTGTGTTCAACATTTGATGTCCCTCCTCCGCTCAAAACTTATTGCCAAGATAGATGAAATATATGAATAATAACGATAATATAATAATAATAATCAACAGATAAACGGCAAACAGACTGGAGAGGCAGGATGGCTCTTGAACATCACAGTGACCAGCAGCATTACTATAAGGTGGGGAATGCACACAACTCCCTGTTTGAAATGGGTTGATATGGGGATCCTTTGTTTATGGAGGACAAGCGGACAGGAGGACAGGATGACACTGCTACTGTCTGGGGCTAGGGTGGGTCAGTGGTGCTGGTCAGACATTCTTAAACTACTGAGACAAGAAAAGACCCAATGAGCAATGTCTACTAATTTCAATGTTGAAAGTACTCCTTTCCTGACTACTACCAGGTGATCAATGTGAAATCAATGAATCTGCTGTGGGAACAGACAATGCTACATCTGGTCTCTGCTGTACAGATGCGGAAGCTGTGAACAGCCATGAGAACAGAGACAACGGGCTTAGGCAGCAAAGATTAGAGTGCAGTAAGTTTGGAATGTTTGTAGCTTTGCCCTTTTCTTTTTGTGGTGCTGGGAACTGAACTCAGGGCCTTGTGCATGCTAGGCAAGTACTCTATCTCTGAGCTACACTCCAAGTCCTACCTTTGCTTTTTCATACATAATTATTAACATATCTAGGGCAGATACCAGAATCCAAGATGCTCGAGTGCCTTGCATTTTAAAATGTCATTATTAGATAATGTAAATGCAAATAGCAAGTACAGTGTACGGATGGAGACCAAGAAGAGTCTAAGTGTGTTTAAACAGATGCAATTAAAACATCTTTTGATCTCCACTTGGTTAAGTACAGAAGGCTAGCTGTAACTTAATGGAGAACATACACATGCACACACACAACTGAATATTTAGTAATAAGTAGCTCACAAAATTCCTTAAAATTTAATAATAATCACATGTACAGCTCAGTGGTAGAGTGTGGTATGCTTATTAGCATGTGTGAGGCCCCAAAGTTTAATACACAATGCACTCTTCCACACGTGAGCATGAATATAGCCAAATGATTACTAATAACTCCTAATGAATAGATAGGTGGTGTCTCCAGCACACCTCTGAGTCTGTATCACAATCTGAGGTTCTAGAAAGAAGAGACCTGGGCTCACATGTAGGAATGAGCACAATTCCCCGATTTCACTGTGGAGCTCCAAACTACTATTAAGAGGCCAACCCCAGATGAGGGTGGGGGTGGAGGTAACTAAAACCATCAGCCAGTTAAGAGTGAGGCAGGAGGAGGGAGAGATGGTTCAGCAGTTAGAAGTGTATGCTGCTCTTGCATACACCCACATCAGGCAGTTCATCATTGCCTGTAACTCCAGCTCCACAGAGATTCAACGCCTCTGGCCTCCACGGATACCTGCACTCATGTGCACATACCCACATACATATACATAATTAAAATAACACAAATAAGAATCTAAAAAGAGTGAAGCAAACAAAACAAAAACCTGTATCTCACATGAACATTATGGGGGCAGGGGACAGCCTACAGCCCATGAATTAAAAAAAGTCTCTTGCAAAGGAAGATAGTCCATAAACTCCTCAGGGACATGAATTCACTCCAGATTAATTACAAAAAAGTTCTGGCAAATATTTAAAATAAATATGTTGAGTATGACAGAGACCTTAATAAGTGTCCATAAAAAGATGATTTGAAAGAAAACAGGCACAACCTGAGTAACAGGAGGCAGCAAGAGATTAGGATGTGGTGCTAGAAGATATTCCCACTGAAATTTAAAATAAAAAACCCTCAGTAGGATAGCAGTAAATTCTAGACTAGGCAACCATCAAACACAAAAGCAGTGATTTGAAGACCAGAGTCAAGGAAATGGGTCAGAAGACAGTGGAGACCCAGACACCAGCAATGAACAGCCCTCCACAGAGCCAGGAGAGTGAAGAGGTATTAGGGGATGATGGCCATAGGCTGGAAAAGAGAAAGGAGAAAATAATGTGAAAAGAATTAGAAGAATATCTGAGAATTTTCTAGAAAGGAGAAAGGCATGGGTCTTCAGAGAAAAACTGTCAAGTAGGGGACATTTAAAAAAATGCCACACTGATATATAGAATAGAAAACTTGTGATACATCAAAGAGGAAGGGGAGAAGTCCTTAGGAAGACAGTATGACGAAACTATCACACTGGACTGAGAACTGTAGATATTGAGCACCTCAACAGTGACAGAATTCAGGATTAACACTTTCAAAATGCTGACGGCAGGTAACCAGGGGCCTCAAATTCTATGCCCAGCTAAACTGGCACTTGAGGGTAGAATAACAGACATGCCCAGGAATGTAGACAGCAGACATTATCACTTCCAAAACATTCACTGAAGTATTAAGAGAAATAGTTGAGCAAAGGATGAGAGGAAAAAGCTTATAACTACTAATTATTTTCTGATAAAAAAATCCATAGTCTCTAGTGTTAAAAGTGAGAGTAAACCACTCCCCATGTACTACAGTGCTTGTAACAAAAAGACAGCATCAAGTTCACAAGGCTTTCAAGAAAGGAGAACTCCCACACAGTGCTGCTATGAACAGAAAATGCTATAGGTGTTTTGGAAACTTTGTCAGTTCCTCAAAATAGTAAACATATAGGTAGCACAACCCAGACATTTCATTCTAGACCCAGGAGAAATGAAAGCATAAATCTATGCAAAAACTTTTAGATAGATGTATACCAACATATGTATAACAGCCCAAAATATAGGAATAAATGAAATCTTACGTATCTACAGAATGGAGTATTCAGCTATGAAAGGAACCGAGTATGACTGCCCACCACAAAGTGAACGAATCTGAAAACGTGCTCCATGCAAGCAGCAGACACAAACGGCCACAAACCCAAGGTCAAAGTGTGCTGTTGGAGAAACGTCTAGGACAGGCAAACTAAGAGAGACCAAGAACAGGTTATTATCAGAAGCTAGAGAAGTAGAGCTGGATGTTATGGGGCACAGGTTTTCTTGGTAAAATGGTAGAAATGGTCTGCTGTTAGATAATGGTACTCATGAGTTCATGAAAACCGCTGAATTTTACTTTGAAAGGGCACATTTTATGGCATGTAGATTACAGCTCAATAAAAAGATGTAAAAATGATTTATGGGAAGGAGTGGAGGCTGAAATGTCCTGTGATGGGCTGGAGTTAGAGTGACCCGCAAGCATTTCTGTGAGGCGAACACCAGTGCCTGTGGCTGCACACAGGAATACTTAGAGGCATGTCGGACACAGGCTAGCGTGCAGACACCCACTTCCTTCTTGATCAGCCAAGAACACCTGCAAGCCTAGGACACAGCCTAGCAACCAACATTCTTAGCACTCAGATTTTGGTTCAAATAATCATTTTCTAATAAAAGATCTATAGGTCCTTGGGGACATGACTGATGGTAGGACTGAGTCAGGAAATGTACCAAATGAGACAGGTTTCTTATACATGCTCAAAAGCAAAACCATGATGCTGGGTTGGGTCTGAGGGACATGGGAATATGTGCAGGAACTCTCAATGGCTCACAGGGAACAAAACACACAAATGTTGAATTATAACCCAAAGTAGAAAAAACATCCACAAGCCTATACTTAAATGACTGAATGGATAAACTGAGTGGGAGGAAAAGATATCTCCCCTTTAGATGAATAACAAATAACTTTTATAGGTGCTCCATCCTCTAAGAGATGAAGCCTCCTAGCCCTATGACCCTTAAGTGTGGGCTGTATACTGACTCCAAAGGGCATGTGTAAAGAGGGGCTGATGGGAAAGGAATGATATCACTGTGGGGCAACTGGAAAAATATCAACAGTGATGCCATATATATATATATATAATTTCCCTGAAGCTATGCATATGCTATGTAGCCCACATTGCCCTCAAACTCCTGATCTTCCTGCCTCAGCTTCCCAAGTGCTAGGATTACTAGTGTGAGTTATCTTTGTGGTCTTCTTCCTTAGATTCATAATACCAAAAACATGAAATTCCAGGTGTAACAACCTATAAAAAACTGAGTGGTGCTCTTTACAGTGATCAAAGGCATCAAAGAAGGCAGGGTTGAGACACCGTCACAGCCCAGAGGAGCTCAACGAGACAGGATAGGTAGAGGTAATTTATCCATCTTTGTTATAAACCAAAATTTAAAAGAGCTTTTAGATTTGCAGTAAAATTACAAAGCCAGCACACAAAATTCCCACACACCCAGTATCCCCCATCAGGAAGGCACATGGTTTGCCAAGAATGAGTCAATACTGACACACTAGCTCAGGACCATAAGATTCACTTAGTTTTTTCTCATGTCCTTTTTCTGTTCCAGGATCTGTAGAACTGGGTAACAAGGAAGGTAAGAGACAAACAGAAAGACAGACAGAGACTGAGAAAGATGGTCAAGAAGAGAAAGAGAAAGGAGACTAAGAAAAGAAAGAAGGAGTGTAGGAGGGAAACGCACTGAGAAGCTTATGGCATTGGTGCTGGGTTACAGGAGTCTGCGACTCTTTTTAAAATCATCAGCTCTGTTCTTTGACACTTGTAGATACACTTTCGTTCT